TGAACTTGTGACTTTGATTTGGTCAGTGCTTTATCAGAGCTAGATTAATAGCTTATCAAAATTCCATTGATTGTTAAAACTCCAAAATTTGAAATCTTAGTATAAAAATAGCATAGAAAGGGAAAGAAATCTGAAACTTTTTTATTACCTTAAGTCACTTTATTATACCTTTACAACTTGCATTTACACACTTTAAAATACTTTCTTAGACCCTCAGAATTTACACAAGTTTAAAACCTTTATTTATTTATTTTTTAAATGGGTATGGTGGCACACGTCTTTAATCCCAGCACCTGGGAGACAGAGGCAGGCAAATCTCTGTGAATTCAAGACCAGCTTGGTCTACAAAGTGAGTTCCAGGACAGCTAGGGCTGTGACACAGAGAGACCCAGCCTTAAAAAACAAAACAACACCTGCCCCACCCCCTTTTTAAAATAAATCTAATAATTTACCATGAAACACAGGTGGTTAATTACTGAGCCCAGCCATTGCAAAGCAAGTTCCTTTAAATAAAAGAATATTAAAAAATTACATCTGAAACCTGTTTATCCTTTAACATGAAGCCTGTTAGCAAAGCAAACATGTCTGCCTTTCTCATCAGGAGACACAGTAGCTCTAGAAAAAGATCTGATTTTTACTTATGAAATGAACTAAGAAAGGTAGCTGTAGCCTTGGTTTCCTGCTGCTGCCAAATGGACAAAGCTATATAGTTAGTCTAGCCATCAACACTCATCAGAGATCTGAGAAGGATAAATTATAGCAGGAAATATAAACCTAATGGCCTCTGTATTGATTAAAATGACAGAGATTTGCCAGCTTACTGGACAATAATCCTAGTAGGCTCTGTGGTCTCAATGGCTTCATTTTGGAGCAGAGGTGATCTTTGGCAGTCACATCTTCAGCTGCTGTATTGGACAGTATATGCCTTCCGCTAACAGACCCAGAATGTCTGAGAGATTTTCCTGTGGATGAGGAACTTAGGAAAAATGGCCTATCCTCACAGGTTTTTTTTTTTTTTTTTTTTTTTTTTTGCAGAGCTCTGACAGCAGAGAAAGCAGTATTCCACAGTGGTTTGTGCCAGCAAAATCCAGGTCTGTGCCCCATCTGTGTCTCATCTCCAGAAGCTGGCATGTCTGTCACAGGAAGCTTCTTCTATTAAACATTTTAATGTTATATTAGGTAGATTTCCAAAAAGTTTTGAGAGCCACCTATTAAGTATACCTGATTTTTAAGTAAACTTCACTTGTTTTTTGGGGGGGTGGGTGGAGGTGGGGAGGTTTGAGACAGGGTTTCTCTGTGGCTTTGGAGCCTATCCTGGAACTAGCTTTTGTAGACCAAGCCGGTCTCGAACTTACAGAGATCCACCTGCCTCTGCCTCCTGAGTGCTGGGATCAAAGGCATGCGCCACCACTGCCCAGCTAAGCTTCACTTGTTATTAGTTATTTGCTTTAGGGAAGCAAAATAAAACTTATTTTTATAATTATTTACATTAGTACTTAGCATGGCTACAAGTATTGTTCTGAGCACACTAAAGAATTTGATCATTTATGATTAAGATATACATATTAATTGTTAGCCACCTTATAAATCACTTGTAAGGTGACTGAAACTAGGTGACTGACAATTTGCATATCTCAAGCATCTTTAACAGTTTACCATAAGTTTTGTAGCTTTTATAACATTAGAATTGGCATTTTTGCCTGGTGGTGGTGGCACCCACCTTTAATCCCAGCACTTGGAAGGCAGAGGCAGGCATATTTCTAAATTCAAGGCCAGCCTGGTCTACAGAAGGAGTGCCAGGATAGGCTCCAAAGCTACACAGAGAAACCCTGTCTCGAAAAACAAAAACAAAAACAGAAAAAAAAAAAACTCCAAGATTTCCCTTTAAAGATTCAAAAATCTCTAAACTGTGGGCTCCTGTAATATTAAAACTAAAGTACTTGTTTTTACTTCAAGAGGGAAGAAGCAGGGCACAGCCAAAGTCCAACTGTGCAAACAGATCAATGCTCAACATCTGAGATTCACCCACAATCCTCTGAGTTTCCCCAGGGGGCTCAGGTCACCTCTCTGGCCACACCCTTGGGGCCTGTCTTCTTAGCTTCATCAGGTTCCATTTCATTGTTCCTGTTATTCCTAGTAGCCATCACTTGGCACTGGCATTTCCAAAACTGCTGGGGTCCCTTTCCTGGGTTCTCTTTAGGAACTCTAGCCCTGCCACACAGTGCCAAGCCTCAGCTGCTCTTTGTGACCCCTTCATGCCTTTAAAACCAATACCACCTGGGTGACTTTTTTTTTTTTTTTTTTTTTGAGACAAGGTTTCTCTGTGTAACCCTGGCTGTTCTGGAACTCACTCTACACCAGGCTGGCTTCCAACTCAGAGATCCACCTATCTCTGTCTCCCAAGTGCTGGGATTAATGGTGTGTACCACCTCAGCCCCGGTCCCCGTCCCCCCCCCCCCAAAAACAGGGTTTCTTTGAAAACCAATTTTTTAAATTTTTTTTTTTTTTTATCTGTCTGTCTGTCTGTTTTGTTTTTTCTCTTTTCCCTGTCACAGAGTTAACTGGATCATTTGACACAGGACAGACAGGAAACTTTTAAATAAGCCTGCTTTGGGTCTAGAGAAAGAAGAGCCACAACCCAAACCCAGAGCCAGCTTTTCAATAAAGTAGAACTGCATAAAACAACTTTAATATTACCCACACCCAAACGGGCTTTTGAATTATTGCTAAATTGAATCCAGTGACCAGAAAGCTCAGAGAGAAATTCTGAGCCTTGGCCATTCAAGCAGCAATGGCCAGTGATAATAGCTGTGATGGCTGGCAGCAGCAGAGACAGCAAAAACAAAACCAATAAATACAGAACACAGACAGTTCACATTGGAAGGAAACCATTCAGAAACAAGCATGTGGTGGCCACCATCATTCACGCCTCCATCTGAGCCTGATCCATTCTCATCTCAGCTCTCATGTCTGTAGCAAAACTTCTACAAAGATAAGACCAATGAGACACCAAACCAGAACAAGAACCTCAGGTGAGCCCCACAACATCTCACTTTTTTGCCCTGGATAGGAGAGAGTTGAGTTCTGTCTGGATTCCAACAGAAACAAAGGTCTCAGAAAATGACTATGACTTACCAGGGGAGGTCTCTGGAGATGCTTGCTGCTTCTCTCAGCAGGGCAGTTCACTCTAATAGTCCACAAAATGAAAGCTCACCTCAGAGCCTTGGAATGTGCCAGAGTGAAGGTCCAGCTTTAGATTCTGGTGGGTGGTCTGATCTCGATGGAGTCTCCAGAAAATATTAATCCCACCATTAAAAATAAGACCACTACAATTTTTGAGTCAAATTTAAAGAGAGCTTTATTGAATACTGGCCAGGATGATGGACACTGGCCAGCTCCATACCCGGGATTCCCAGAGTATGGCATCAAATTTCATTAGATAGTTTTTTATAAAGGCAAAACACACAAGGCTACATACTTCCCACCTTCGTCCAATCAGGGGCAAGCACATATCCTGATGTACTTCCTGCCTACATACTTCCTACCTATGTGTGATCAAACGCATCCTGTGCTGTTGGGGCCACCAAGCTTGTTTACAGAGGCAAAAATATGTGGCTTGCTATCGTACATGAACAACAGCCCCCAGCATTCCAGGAAGTCATCTGTTCTTAGGCAGGTGGGGCATTTGGGTGAGAGACATTTTTGTTTTATAGATCTCTTAAGCACAGTAATTTAAACTTAAAATATAACTTTAGCTACAACAAGGCCAGTCGGGGAGACATACAGACCCTGTATCAAAAACACAAAAACAAAACAAAACAAAAGTAGGTGGTGGACCAGATTTAGCCTGGAAGCCATAGTTTATTTCTATGTGTGACCAATTAAGACACAGAGAAGTGTGTACAAAAAAGTGATATTTAATTTAAAGTTGTGACCTGGAAAGAACAAGTTCGCTTAAGTTAATCTAGGCTTCCTCTTTATACACAAATGGAACAGATACAACGTTGGCTCAGATTTCTAACTTCAGAGAAGAACCAAACTGGGTCACAAATCTTTAGCAACCCTGCTGGGGCCAACAGGCTCCACAGGGCGTTGGGGCCCCACTTCACTCTCCTCTCTGTAGCTGGCATTATAGATGCCTCCTTGGAGAAGGGGACAGCAGGTAGTCACCTCCTAACTGTCTCCAGGAGTTCTCTTCCTGGCACCACAAGAATGGTGCCACATCTCAGTGTGTGCATGCCGGGAAGGGCAGCTTGACTAATACCCGGAACTACATTGTAGCCACTGGTCATAATTGGCCCAGTTATGGCAGCAAAATGGCAAATGGGATGGTGATGTGCGGAGAATGAGGGTTTAGCACTCAACTGCAAGTTTGAAAGTGATTCAGATAAATCTTGCCTGGCTAAGGTTTTTGTAAATGTTTCAGAGAGAGAGAGAGAGAGAGAGAGACAAGTCCTTCAGCCCTCTGAGGTTGTGCGCTGCTAGAGCACAGAACTAAACAGGCCCCACTTCCTGTCCCATCCACCCCACCTCTTACATTCAAGGACAATACTTGATTTGGATTCATTTAGCCAGACTGAGGGCAGGGGGACATCTACAGTGCACCAGGCACTGAGGAACAGAGCAGGGGAGGGGAGTGTTAAGGTGGAATGTTGAGCAGGGCTTGAATGGGCACTGCCTTTCAGATATGTGGTCCAGCAGAGAGGAGCGAGTGTGGCCGCAGAGCCTAGAGCCCTCCCAGAAAGGGTTCAGCTATAGAATAAATACAACTAGCTAGAAGTGAGTTTTCTAAAAAAATCTAATAAAATAAAATAAGAATTAGAGGTTCACCTCAAGTGCACTGCAGCAGGAAACAAGACTCCACAGGGTTTGCCTTCTAATACCAACAGCACCTGAAGCCCACCCATGTCAAAGTCCGGGGGTGGGGCAACCACATAACAGCTACCTAGAGGTGT